ATCGATAGCTCACGAGATTCTGCTACAGCTGAATTTATTTTTAGTTGGAAATTCAGACAGAATCCTCTCACATCAAGCACTTTAGCATCGAACATTCATCTCGTCTGACACTTCTAGTACGGCGAGCTCGTGATTAACACCAAGAAACACTCAGATATCAGATCGAAAACTAGGCTTTGTCGTGTCTAATTGTTTTTTTTAATTCGACAAAATTATTTCTTAGACTTTTTGTCGTCTTTGATGTCATTCGAAAGCTCGTGATCTCTCGGGATTACAAAAGCGTAGGCCATTATGTTTTTTGTAAGTGTATGAAACTTTTTATTACTTTAGAATGGATGTAAGTCTTTTATCACATCATCAACTTTGGCAAAGAGTTTTCTTGCCAAGGAATGTTACAGAGACCTGAAAAGATGGTAATCACTTGTAGCAGCATCTGGGCTGTGTGGTGGATTAATCAAACGTTCCCACCTTAGTGTTCAATCTTTTGCAATGTCAGACGCGTAATATAGGGACAAGTGTTTTCCTGGCGTCACTTCGATAAAGCTGTCGCAACCGATTTGGACGTGTTGGTGCCGCCTTCACGAAATTTTTTGAACCATCTTTGTGTAGTACGTAGACAAACCGTCTTGTGTTCAAGTGCTCACCAGAGTCTTGCGCCGCTTCTGTGGCAGAATGCCCGAGTGAAGCATTCAAGAGACGTTCACAACTTAAGTTTAGGAGTGTTCAATTCAACGTGAAAGAAAATTTCATATAGTTTCTAGAGATAGAAATGGCATACATACTTAGAAACTTGAAATTGTAAGCTTTCAAATGACCTAGAGCACAATAAAAAAGACAACGCCATTGTAAATAGAAAAAATAAAAAAAATAGTTGCCAACCTATTGAGAAAAAAAATTCCTTATTATCTACAAAGAACAAAATGGCCTACATAATTAGAGTTCTTAGGTCACGAACTTTAAAATAATATGAATCACAATGAAAACACTGAGAAATAAATCTATAGTGCTCAAATGAGAATAACAAAAAATACGACAAAACAAAGCTACCAACTTAATAAAGAAAAGCAAAGCATTTATGGAAATTTTCGATGAAAATTATCTAAATATTAATAAGAGAGTAAAAGACAAAGCATTCAACGTCAATCTATTCCTGAGAGATGCGCTATTTGTCTGAAGTCTCGAGTATCTCAGAAGTAGATTGAATACATTTTTGGCGTATGAAATGACTTTCAGTGAGATGTGGTGTATTAAGACAGTGATCTTATTCTCAAACAAAGCCTAAACCAGTTAGCTCCAAAGAAACGGAGGGCTCATCCATGATACGTAGGTTTTGAACCACTGAACTTACGTGTATTGCAGGATACCTATAGCCAGCGCAGTATGCGCTCCGTGTAAGATTACACTAGACTGGTAAATGATGTGGCCTGAGGCTTCCATGTACAGAATGAAGCAATCTGGATAAGTCAATTAATTGCCTTTTTTGAATAGTTAACTATCATATATTGCTTCCATGGCAGTTTACGATGCGCAGTATAAGCACAACAATGTCGAAATATGAACGAAACTCAAACCTTCAACTGAATCCGTGATTACTCCTTCAGGTAGCTCATGTGTTACCCCAAGGGTCGCCAACGCCTTAGCTTTGTCGTTTTTCTCGGCCGTGCTTTGAGAGAAATTTGAATGCCAATTTTTACACAAGCAAATTTTACAAAGGTTTAAGAATGTCAAGAGTGCAACATATGACACATTGTTGCTACGCTCTCTCTCGTAACTACTGCTACGATGTACTAATTTTTCACGATATTTTACTTCTATATGAACAATTTATCGCACAACTTGAAAGTATTCATGTAATATGAGTGCCATATGATCTAGTGACGATTACTGAATTATCGACACACAACTCTTTTCAGAGGAGTTCAAAATACGCGTTCAAATTTTACTATATGACCATCAATGATACCCGCAGTGAGTTGAGTCCAAAGAGAGAGGTAAATATATCACATGCGAAGCGTAATTTTCCCCTCGTTAATAGAGCACACTGTAACGGCATTTCCAGAAACTAAACTAAGTCCTTAAATCCTTGCTTTTCAAATTATCGATTTACGACCAGTAGTTCAGTGGAGAGGGCGCCATGGCCGAGTGGTTGCGATGCTAGTCGCGGCGCGCGTGGGGCCCATCCCACTCCTCAGCGCTCTCACGAACAACGAATCAACAACGAACGCCCTATGAAGCGCCACGGCCAGACTTTCCTTAAGAATGTAGCGAAACGCGCTCGACCAGTATTCTACGACTTTCAAGAAGAAGACGTAAAAACGAAATGAATGCTAGAACTAGTGAGATCTATATAGTTGAAAACACACTGTGAAGACAAAAATTGAAAGTGATAAAAGAAGAAGGAAAGTCTAGTAGGAAAGAGTGAGTATTATTACTTGTTGGTTGCTGGAAGTAGAAATTCCACTCAACAAGGGTAAATTGATTATCGGTGCTATTGTATGGGCACAGGCAATTTGTTGCTGACAAATGTTCATTGTACAAGTTGCTGATTGTTTAACATATTCAGGAGAAAGTCTACGCCACTTGTAAAAATTTGTGAGAATTTGGATCTAAAGAAGACAGGATAACCACTGTTTCCGAAGAAGTATTGCACAAATGACGAATACGAATTATACCGAGGCCTTCGCCGATTTTTACGCCTCGAGGAGCCTCCCAAGTGTCATATACTTCAGAAGTCTATTTTCGAATTACACTTTTGCAATACCGTCAAAGGAAATGGTAAAAGAAAGTTACAGATGAGTTGATACCCCAATGACATAGTTTTCGTATTGAAAAGTAAGGAACTTAAGATATCTGGTGAGCTCTTCGAATTATAAATACGCCGTGAAAGTCCCTTCAATGATAATAAATCCTTTCGTAGCGATGAGGTTTCATTAGAAATAAAGTTTCACAAGAACTGTCAACAAATTCCGCTGTGAAGTCCAAACCACGGGCTGACACCTAGGATGCCACTGATAGGAGCAGTGTGTGATGGATAATATTACTAAGTAGCAATTTTATAATTTTACTAATTTTATTAATTGAATAGTTTTTATTGATTTTCACTCATTCTTAGTCCTAACAACATTGGCAAATCAAAGAACTGAAGAAAGATATTATTCCAGAAAGGCGCGCGTGTTTGTTCGCCCTTTTTTGCAAAAAACCGATCTTATCTATGGAATTCTGAGGCACACTAGAAGCAAAACGTCATTCTTTTCGTTAGTAGAGCATACTGTAAAATTCTCTTCACAAAAAAATTGGAGAAATAAGCATTCCTCCAACTACCGAGTGACTACAGGGACATAAATGATTTAAGAAAGTAATGATCAGTGAAGGGGGGGTGGGGGCACCGTGGTCGAGTGCTTGCGCACGTAGGCTAGACCCCTCCACCCAACACTCTCCGGCAGTCATGAACAAACCTGCAAGGACACACGTTCGATCGCTATTTTAATAGTTCAAAAAAAAGACGAAAAACGAATCAAATGCTAAAAGTAGTGGGACCTGCATGGCAAAAATGTGATGACGATTCATGTAAATAAGTAATTATTAATGATCTATAACAGTTTGAAAACGAGTTTTTTCTCGTAAGGATGTGCTTTTTTTGAGAACAAAACGATTTTTCTGACACTTGGGTTATTTTTGCTAAGAATGCCTTTGTAAACGTTTCCTTCATAGAAATGGAGCAGAAGGATTTTTCGACACTTCGCTGTTCTTGCAGTGAAAATCCTTTGTGAACGTTTCATTCATGACAAACTATTCTTCTATAGTAATAAAATTCCTCTAAAACATAAATATCTATAAGTATCGATAGTCTTCATGCGGAGTTTCGAGCGAAGGATTAACTACTTCGGGTATGAAACGTGATATTTTATCGCTCTTTTAGTGTCTTCAGAAATCCTTTTCAAAAACTAACTTAAGCTTCGGAATTGTCTAATTTGTTGCTATCGAATGACTTTTGGAAGATCAGCAAAAATCCGTCTATGGACCTCAGCCAAGCAACAAAGCAAATTGAGTGTGAAACACAATTTTATTGTTGCTGTTCACACGCAATAAGAAGAGTTTTCAAAAACGCTGCACATTCTTGGAATTTCCGGATTAAAACTTCACAATAACTGCTAAAAGTCTGAGAAAAAAGCTTTATGCATGAAAAATGGCTCTTGAGCAATATCTGTCACTACACCTACTTGCCGTCCTAAACGAGTTTACCGAAATCAAAACTGCTCGACTATACGGGATCTTTACAAAGATTTCATACCGTATTGGGTTACTTTCCCAAGGAGTTCTAGTAGTTTCCATCATCAAATAATTCCGTGATCTTAGCACTTCTTACATTTGATTCGTTTCCTCATGATCCTCCACGAACTTTTTGAACGCTTCACGTGCTGTTTCGCCTTCTGCTTGACGATTTCGTCTTCTCTATGGACATCGCGGAATGTTGGACGAAACCATTCTCCTTGTAATCTTACAGGTAAATCAAGAAAGACGTTCTCTAAGCGTTTGTTGAGTGACTGTAAAAGAAGGTTGAGAAGGAATCGAATCAGCTCCTTTCTTATCACCTTGCTTCGTGATGCACTTATCTTTGACTACTGAGCCACCCCGCTCTCAATAAAATCTACTCAATACGATGCAGCACAATAGTGTGGCTGAGGCCCCGGTAGTTTCGCTCTTAGAGCCTGGTCAACACCGAGAGCTTTATCTTCTCTATCTCTATGAATTCGCTTTCGAAATCCGTAATCACTATCATGCAAGAAAGTTTGGCTCTAACTTCACAGCAGCTCAAAATTGGCATACGACAGATTCGAGAATCAATATAATCAAAAACCAATGAGTTATCAGTTGCTCATAAAGGTGTAGAGTTTGTAGTGATTTGAATGTTGACATAACGAAGAACACTTTAAAGATACCACACTCCTGAAAAGAAAATCGCAAGTCAAACTGAAAGAATTGAGTGGTGAGCAAAAGCACGGCCTCAGGCGGAGATCAAACCCGCGTTTCATCCTAACTGAGGACGCGTGCTCTACCACTACACCACCAAATCGAACCCGCGTCTCAATCCTATCCGGGGACGCGTGTTCTACGGTGGTATAGTGGTAGAGCACGCGTCCCAGTTAGGATGAAACGCGGGTTTGATTCCCGCCTGAGGCCGTTCTTTTGCTCACCACTCAATTCTCTTAGTTATATAAGTATCATCATAACACTGCGAAAAAAGCAGTAGAAATACTATAATTTCAAAACTGAAAGCTAAACACGGTAGGGGATAGAACGGCAAGCTTGGCTGGTTCAAAACCATCACTTATCTTTCAATGAAAAAATGACCTCCCATCATGTTCTATCTTATGATCTATGTTTAACTCATAAATTAGCATGCACTGAAGATCTTGTGTCTATCTGTCTTTCAAAGTTTAAAGTCGAACCATCATCAGCTGTGTAGACGGGCCCACACATAGAATAACGTGGATGATAAACCTAACACTAGTGCAGTTGCTGATACACATTCGATCCCATATCAGAAACGCTTGAATGCTCCTAGAGCGCCTACGTAAAGCGTCTCCCAACAACATATACGTGACAAAATCCTTCGACGTCATCTTCTTTTGCACAAAGGTGTCAAATAATTCGCAGGCAAGTTATACGCGAACTGCTCATAAAATGTGAAAGAACTATTAACATGTATGGTTTTTCAATTCGGCGAATGGCCCCAAAATTGCCATAGCTTGTGTTAGGTTGGGAAGAAAGTTTTTATTGATTGATAAAACATTCAAGATTTTTGCATATATTCAGGCAACAAACAACAACTATTCTTCATTCTATCATGGTCCACCACTTTTTGTCATCGGTCCGCCAGGTTTTGGATCTGATTGAAGTACCACTCGTTCGGCTTTGAATCGAAGAGCTCTTGACATGCTTTTTCAACTTCATCGAAAGATCCAGATTAGCGACCTTCCAAAAAGTGTTGAATTTATCGGAAAAGGCCATAATCAGATGAAACAAAGCCGGATGTGGGGGTGGATGCGGTAAAATCTCAACTCTGTCAAACTCCTCAATGCCTTGGTCTTTTAGGCTGTGGGTGGTTTTGCGTTGTCTTTGACTCGTAAAGCACCATCAGACGTTTTTGTTCCCTGGACAATTCCATTCTGAGGCAGATATAGATAAATTATATATCAATAGATGAGCAAGAAGTAGACCTTTCAAATGATATGAAAATCACATAGACTCATGCTAAAAAAAACGACATTCCCATCCAAACGGTGGAAAATATTCTTTCCAACCTATGATGTTATTGTGGAAGCTTCATTAATCGACCTTTGGTAACCACTCTGGTGTAGATGAGATAAACAATTTTTTCCGCCTTCTGTTCCACACAGGAGGACATGGAGAAATTTTCTGAATTGTTGAATAACATTTAGAGTAGATAAATTTATTCGGAAAATTCAAAGGATATTTGACTTCCAAGCTCAAACGCCTAAATAAACCCATACGAAACCGCCAGAAACACATGGTGCTACAGAAAGCCTAGCAATTAAGAAATACTGGTCCATTATCTTTCCTCAACACGCGCATTTGATAAAAAGGATGTTTCGATTAAGGTAGCAGTATGTACACAGGAAAAGATCATAAGAAACAAGCTTTGAACTTATCACGAAAATAGCCATTTCGGATGAATATAAAACAGTAGGAGCACCTCAGATTAGATATAGACGAAACGTGATAGCCTCAGACTAAAAGCCTAATGAAAATAAGGTCTCGTGTATGCTAACCTACAATAAAGTAAGCACAGCTATCAAACACTGCTCAAGAAGGCAGGCTTGGGAAATCTGGTAAAGGTGATTAAAATATTCCCGAAACATTTTCAGGCCACCACTGACCAGTATCGGATTGTATAGACGTCTCTGCGAAACGGAACAAAAAACTGCGTAATTTGTTACAACGGTAGAGACGGCGCTTACGTGAGATTTAGTGTGGCACATCTGATTTCTTTTGAGGCGTTTGGGGATGGATACACTGGCGAAACGGGTAGTTCCACTCTGCAGCGGTTTAGAAGGGCACCTGGCTGAAAAACGCAGAGTCGAACAAATTGGACATGCATGGAGAACAAAGACGTAACGGACAAGAAGTTGGTCTAAACGTCGCTATCTTACCACAAGGATCTAAACTGCCGAAGAATTCTTTAAGCGTTCTGGATTATGATTAAAAGTTCAAAAGTGAGCAGTAAGGAGGAGTGTTTCATGATTACACGTGACCTCACAAAAAAACCTCACGCTAATCTTTCTAACCTGAGCCAGGCAAATTCTTAGCGATGCAAGACTCTGAGAAGCTTGTCTGTGATGAATAACTAGAGGACTAAGAACAATTAGAAGGTTTGTGCTCTAAAGGAAGCTTCTTGCTATGGCTTTAGAAAAACTGTATGACTAATCCTTTTATCATTATTTGAGCAACATGTCATGTGGTCTGGTAAGGGCTCTTGTACAGCCCGAGACACGTGTTTCGTCCTTACAGACTCATCAGCCGAGCAGAACCCGTCGTCTGTCGATATTTTTATAGTCAGTTCTCTCGGGAGCGTCACACTCCTTATATATAGTTATCGACGACTTACGCTTTACACTCTATGTCAGGTGAAACATTCACCTAACACGGAGTGTTGCGCACTCGATTGCTCATTGGCTGGTACTTTTATCATAATTATACCTTTATCTCGAGTGCTTTGTTTAGACCACGCTCAAATTTCAATATATCCTTTCATCATTATTTGAGCCAACATGTCATGTGGTCTGATAAGGGCTCTTGGACGAAACACGTGTCTCGGGCTGTACAAGAGCCCTTACCAGACCACATGACATGTTGGCTCAAATAATGATGTATGACTAATATTTCTGTTGAAGTTGAGTAAGCATTTGAGAGTAGATTGCAGATCGATTCAACTTTTAGGCCCTGAAGAAGGCGAAATCGTCGACATGTCAGCTATTGTATTATTCCCAATATGTGGAGTGCTGTGCAAAAGCGTTTGCGTCAGCCGGAATTCGAACCCAGATCTCACTCTTTCCGGGAGCGTATGCTAACTGTTGCACTAGCGACGCTCGTTTTGCACAGCACTCCACATATTGGGTATACTATAACATCATACAACTGCAAGTGGCAGTCAAAACAGAAAGAATTTAGACTGATTATTGTATTATTACTGTGCATCATTATTGCATTGAATATATACCATAATCAACAACCTTGTGTCTGCTTTAAGAAAGACTATTGAATTCTGCAATAATTACTAAGAGACCGTTAAAACAGCAAAACGGTGAGTAATTGAAGGAATCTGTCTACGATGTCAGTGAATATTGAGTTTCGTCTGTTTAATTACGATTCCTTTGAATGACTAGATTATTCAGTAGGATTCAACTATTGTATCGTTCAGTGGAGGCAGAGTAGGGGCAGGCTGATAAAATTACATGCCGACATGACTCTTCCAGGCTCTGGAAACCGCTAATACATCAGCCATTATCATGTACTGTCATATATTGTGCTGCATAAGTCTTACTGTTATCAAACTCACGTAAGATCATGAAGAAATGCGGAATTATTGCCTAATGTGGGGGTTAATCAATAGCGGATCTTAGGAACTTCTATTGTCCTAGCTCTTTCGGGATCAGGGCCGCGGTCTCTGCGTCTCTAACCGACAACGTCGGTCCGTCTGCTCCACCGCCTTTGCATCTCTATCCTCCAGGGTGAGGATGCTGCGCGGTCTATTCCACCTCTTCCGCATCTCTAGTCCTTAGCGTGAATATCATTGTCTGTCACACTCCTTCCTGCCATCCGGCACCCCGTCCATCAGGAAGAAGGTTGCGCTTCACTATAGCTTGATTGGTGTTATCTTTTTTATGTCGATTAGTATTGAAAGTTTCTCTATAATGTAAATGATATAGCAAAAAATTCTCAGTTGTCTAACATTTCACTACTTCTGATATAAAGCGTAGACGCATAGAGTGATATTGTATATCCACCTATTTTTCGTTGTGAATGACAATGTGGAAGTTTTTAATGCAATTTGACTTACGATTGGAGTTTCATTCTACGTAATCTGCTTACTTGTTCGCAACTACAATGAAACGTCATGGTAGGGAATCGAATCAGTAACCCGATGGACGGGATGCCAAGTGGCAGAGAGGAGTGAGACGGATAGCGATACCACACTGCGGGTTAGAGATGCAGAAGAGGTGGAGCGAATCGTCCAGCGATCCCATTATGGGAGTTAGAGGTGCAGAGGCCGGATCACTATGAGTGAACGCACTGGTATACGCACGGTTTTTGTGATAGATGGTCGTGTAGGAGAAGTATTAACACATTGGCTATGTGAGTCATACGATGCGGATAAAGCCGCTCCCAACTATAAGTAGACATCCTGTAGATCATAATGGTGTCTATAAGTTTAAATAAAGACTATTTTTCTGAGAAGCTATCTATTGAAAACTACTGGAACCCGGAAATCTTTGCCTTGAGATAAAAGTTTTCATGTTCTACCAAGAAAAAGTTATGGTTTTCTGAAGCCCAAAACCCGTATTTTTTCCACTTATTGCTTCAAGGCACAAGCTTCGAATACGAAAGTTGAACAAGCGGGATTCAAACAAAGCAGTAAGAGATTTTGCTACCAATTAATCGTCTATATCTGCAGCTGCAATTACTGCATTTAAAGAGACAATTGAATTTTGTTTCTAAGTAGTTTTAGTCCAAAATGTTTATGAATGATAAATGTACCATACCTCTGCTATCGACCGCTCTTTTACAGACCCGCTTAAAATGATTTAATCTGATAAGGATATGACATATTTTGAGCCGATAGGTCTAGTGCTATATAGGCGCCTATTTTTTTTGGGTGCTTGATTTTTACTCGGCGTCGATTCCTTTAGAGGATTATTTCACTTCAAGGGATCGACGGAACCAAGGGAGGGTGCTACTGATGAGTCCCAATTCGACGAAAAAGGCACCTATATAGCACTAGACCTATCGGCTCAAAATATGTCATATCCTTATCAGATTGATTGATAAATG